CAAACGCATACCAGCTTCATCACTGTGTCTGTCACGTGACTCTGTTCCCCTTTCGGGCTCTGTCTTTACGTTTATTTTGAAAGATGAAGCTCGCGTTTATGGTAAGGGGCGTTACATTTCCGACGCGTGCTTGTTGTGTTCGGCCAATCACAATGCACTGGTTCAGCTGGCCAATCAGAGCAGACTGTGCTTGTCGGAAGGAGGGACTTTGTAGAAAACGAAGCGTTTGAGAGAGGCGGGGCATAGAGGACCTACAATAATGTACAGTATTTGAAAAATAATGTGTTTTTTGAACATTAAAGCATGTCAACATATTCTGTTACACCAAATACACAAAATAATGATCTTTAAAAAAGCATCATATGACCCCTTTAATATATTAGATGGTGGGTTCACCTGTTTACATCGAGTGCTTCGTTGTTGCATTGCATTACGCCGAGCCGCAACGGCTTAAAGGGATCATGAACTGAGAAAGCAAAATTCCCTTGATCTTTTGACATATAAGAGGTCACTGTACTGTTAAAACATCCTGTAAGTTTCAGAACTCAGCTTATATTGAAGGCAGTCTGCCACAACGACAGCTTGAGGAATGTTCTACTCTATGATGTAATAGTGTGGATAAGCTCCGCCTCCACAGAAGAAGATTGACACCTGCTTCTACATCAATGCCAGTTTAGCCCCGTGCATTTAGTGTAAATAACAAGAGAGGCAAATTCAGGTCTAACGATAAAGATGCTCCGAAGACAAGAAGATGCTGTTCAGTGCCAAGCTGTGGAAAAAATAGTCTTTGCATTGCCTTCCTTCTGATCCCAATGTTAGGAAAGAGTGAATTAACTTTATTTTTAATGAAGATCCAGACCGCGTCAGTAAGAAATCTGTCTTTTGTTCACTTCATTTAAACAAGGCACAATTCGACGTGGGATTTTCAAAAGATTGAAACTAAAAGACGATGTTGTGCCGACTATATTGGATCCGATGTGGCACCACACAAGTGTGAGTAACTGTTTTTATTACGTGATCACTATATTACTTCTAAATTGTGATGTTTTTAGATGCAAAAATCTTGATAATATTATAAGTGGACCTCAGAGAACAGTACAAAATAAAAAACAGAGGCAGTTCATGATCCCTTTAAGGTGCGGTCATTTTAACCGATATTCTGCAGTTTTTTTTCTGGAGAAATCCAATAGAAATCCACACGTTTGTGAATTTTGAGTGACGCCTTGTTCCAATCAGACTATGACAATAATAATCTCAGGTTCTGATTATGTGCTTTATTTAATGTTAAAAGTGCTTAATGTGAATTTGAATATCAGTTTGCGTTTTTATAGCCATTTTGAAAATGACAATAATTTACCTCAGATCTTGAAAATAAAGGAAAATGTGAACTCAGTGTGAACAAACAAGTGTACTCCATGACAAGATTGTACCAGTCACTCAGTATGTAGGCCTTTTTTTTAATAATGTTAAAATGGTGTATTAATTAGATGAGGCTATGTTCTTATCTGTTTTGTTGTGAATGCAGAGCACACAGGCTTTTCTGATTGGCTGCAATTTTTGATTGATTTAATCTTGTCTCGTAGACACGTCGCGTCTGGTTAGCTTGTCACACAAATTTGCCGTGTTGATGAGAAGAAAAGGTGCTTGATTTTAAAGTGTGAGCTTTATTATTAATAGCTGTTAATAAAAACAGACCTTTTTTGCTTGTGAAATTTCGCTAATGTGACTACACCTCATACTCGCCCCATCTGTGAGTTTTTATTTTATTTTTGCCGTTTTATGCCTTTTATTTAGATAAGACAGTAGGTCGACAGGAAGCGAAGTGGGTGAGAGAGAGAGGGGGGCGGGATCGGGAAAGGTCCGCGAGCCAGGACTCGAACTCGGGACGCCTGAAGCGCAACAGCGCTACATGTCGGCGCGCTGCCAACGAGGAGAATGGCGCTGACCATCTGTGAGTTTTTAATTTATTTTCAACAAATAATACACTAAAGAGTCACCACTGCAGGATTTTTTACATACAATAGGCTACAATAGCGATTATATGTCGCCCTAGTGGTTTTATGTGCTACAACATCATGAGCCAGTTTTTTTTTTTTTACATTTGTTTTTAATAAAGCCGATTAGTATATGTAGTGAACGTAAAAATTTTATCAGTAATAATAACAAATCAATGCCGCGTCCACGAGTTCACTTGGTCGTGTGTGACAAAATGCCATTATTTCGGCGTTCTATATACTGTAAAAATGATGTGATTAATAAGTCCTGGTAACATGTTTTTTCATTATTTTAACTCATCAAATTAAGTTAACCAATTTCAACTTCACTTTTTTAAGTTATAAGAGACTTAAAGGCACAATATATAAGATTTTTTAATTAAAATATCCAAAAACCACTATTAGTGTTTTTATTTTGCTGACTTGTGTACTTACATTATCCCAGATGTTTCGAAATCCAGAGAAATAAGCAACTTTAACTAGTGGCACGGACCGTGTCCATAGTGTCATTGTGTCGCCTGCCAATGACGTCATAACCCCTCGATTTCCGGTTTTGTTTTGAAGAAAACATGGAAACACCAAAGACGCTTTAATATGTTGTGCATTTTAATAGACCGGTGACGACCGCACAGAGCAGCATTATAACAGAACTAAATGTATCTAGTATGATAAAACAGCGCTGCTTTACCCCACATATGCACGACCGGAAGCAGCAGAAGCGGTCGACTGTGGCATAATAAAAGCTCAGCTGCTTTCCAGCCGTTTTGAAGTTAAAGTCGTTGGAATTTTTTGTGTGTTGACTCGTCAATAATGTCATAAAATAAACAATATTAACAGGTAACAAAAGGCAGACATAAACATGAACATGACCATATAAAATATGTGACAATGGGAAAAATAGACAAAAAGAAGTTTCATATGAATGACTCATTTTGC